TTCATAGAAAAACGACTAGAGGATATGCATCAAAATATGAACACTGTCATCTTTGGGTGGTGAAATTATGGTGGCTTAGAATATCTTATTTTTTGTTTATTTATATTTCCCAACTTTTTAGAATGAATATGTATTACTTTTGTAAGAAGAAAAAAATAATTAAAAGAAACACTGAGAATTAAAATGCACAATTGACAGGAGAAACAAATGGAACTAACAGTATGGAAGAGCAGATCAGTGATGTGTTTGGGGGAAGTGAGGAGGCATTTGATAAGTTATCCTGGAATTCAAAGAAAATACAGACCAAAGGAATAAAAGGGCAGCTGAGAGTTTTGGAAAACAGAGAATGGAGATCCTATAAATGGATGACTGGTGTTCCTGAAGAGATCAGAACAAATGCCATCAAAGCAAGAATCTAGTATATATAGTAGATCTCTTTCTGAGCTATACATAAATAAAAGTAAATTATAAATAAATAAATATCCTATGCAACATAGACAAGACTCATCATGTTTCAGAGTAATTAAAAACAAAAAAGGAGGGAAAGAAGGAAGAAAAGAGGAAGGAAGTGTAGAAGGAAGGGAGGAAGGATGGAGGGAGGGAGAGGGGAGGGTAGGATGAATGAACTAACATAGGCCCCACTCCTAGACATTGTCTGGCAAGGCTTGTAAATTATAAATATAAAGAAAAAAATTCCGCAAGCATTCTGGCTGAAAAAACAAAACAGATTATCCAGAAAGAAATAAAAGTCTTTGTGGCCTCAATATCAAATATCATAAGGCAATGGAACAAGATTTACAGCGTCTTAAAGGCAAAGAATGTTCTCACCCGCAGGTGTCGCATCTTGCTCAGCTGCCCTTTCCTTTGAGCAGGAAGATAACAAAAGTGCCTGTACTGATGTTCATGAACTTTCCAAGCCCTCAGACCCAGGGTGCACTGGTGCAGCTCCTTCCACTAAACCTTCCATTTTCACTCAGCCTGTCTTTCTTCCCAGAATGAAGGAACTGGGCTTCAAGGTACCTGCTCTGGATCCCACCCTGACTGAGGTCATAAAACACATCTGCCTTTTCTCCCTCCTCTGCCCTGAAGATGCACTTCTGCTTGCACGTTGGCTATTTGGGTTCTGGACTCCTACTCCATTTACTCTCTAATCCCAGCAGCATTTAGCCTCCTGGAACCTTGTTCCACACCAGACTGGCTGCTTTTAGGGTCAGGCAAGTCCCTCCTTTCCAAAGGAAACTTGACCATTCCTTGCTTCACTGATTCATGCCCACCCCAGGGCAAGAGCTGGGGAAGTGCCCTCACAGAACTTTCAGGTTAGTTATGGGGAGAAGTGTGACAGACACTTTAGGATGCTCACTCAACATTTTTCCTAATCACCTTTTAATCCTATTTCTACGATAAAGGCTAGAAAGCTAGCCAAGTGATGTCCCAGTTTGCAGTGCAACTAGGGTGGCCCCAAGACACATTTCTGACCAGTGAAATGTAGGCAGAAGTCCCAAGGACGGCTTTACCTCTGTGGCTAAAATTGCAATATTTCCAGAATCTCTCCCCTGGCTTTAGTGCATCTCCATATCAACAGGTGTTTCAAGGGGTGGAAAGAAGTAGACCATTTCCATATCAGTGGGTAGTTACATGGGAGAGCAAGTGAGGGCTTATCTGGACCTGAGAGGTTGGAGGGAGTATGCGCCGGTTTCTGCACAGGAGGAAAGAGAGACATGGGGCAACTGCTTGTAAGCAATAAACGGGTTTTAAACTTTATTTCTCCTTTTGGTGGATTTCAGTTTCAGCTAGGTATTTTGCCCCAGGATTTCCCCTCCCCAGAGTTACACTTCTCTCAAAATAAAGCAAAGCTTTCTGGGGAGAGGGGCGGGGGCAGTTGTTTTCCCTTTTGGTTTTCCCTTATTTTTCTTCTTGAAACACAGATAAGATGCCTAGAGCTTTGGCAGCCATCATGTGATCATAAGGCAACAAGTAAGAGAGGATGAAAGTCAGTGCTGAGGATGGGGACACAGAAAGAGAGCAGTCGTCTCAGCAGCTGCACAGCCCTGAGCTGACCACACCTGGATTTTGTGTGAGATGAGAAAAATAAGCCCCTGATTGTTTAACACTGCACTTCAATTTTCTGATACTTCCAACTGAATACTGCTGATGTAACAAGGTAAATGAAGTTAAGCAATAACAAAATCTCAACTCTCAGAGGTTTTTCTATTCTCTCAACCTCACTCTCTATAGTCAAATTGTTTTAAATCTGAGGGTTTTCTGTTTTAAGCAGTAAGACCTTTTACAAATTATTTTTTAAAAATATATTACACAAGAACCTTTTCCTATCATTCCACAATGAGCTGAAATATTCTGATAGCCTTGTAGTGAAGGGAAGTCTTTGCAAAGTGCTGGTAGCCTATTTTCTAAGTGACCTCAGACTTCTGTGGATTTTAATACTCATTTGGCCTTCTATATGTTTCCTGACTCTCCATTAGGAGAGTTCCATAGTTCTCCATAACCCTACCTATTATAATGCCTCTTTCCCTCTCTTATTTTCTGCTATGGGCTTAAAATTGCAGGTAGAAAGTTTGTTGTAGGTAAGCACTAGGCTGTGAGTGAGAGTCTGAGGAGTCTTTCCTTCAAAATAAGGTCAGGGCAAGACCGAGCCAAGGGCATGAGCTTTCCTCCCAAACTTTAAACCTGATATGTTTTAGCTTCTCAGAAGCCTTTTTGATTCTTAACTTTGTGCTGGGTAAGTTAAAATCATGTGGCACCTGAGATCCAGAAATTTGAGGTACAAAGCCACAGCCCCAGATATGTCACAAGAAAGCTTATGATTAAGTCCAATGAATGGTCTAAGCACGCATAGGAGGGAGAGATCCTGGTGGGCCAGAGTCAGGGAAGGCTCCGTGGCAGAGCCTTGAGGGGTGATCAGGCCCAGGCTAGGTAGGTTCAGACAAGAGAACAGGGCTTTCCAGAAAGGTGATAACGTGGCCAAAGTCTTGCGGGCTGTAAAGAGGGCAGCATAGTTGGCCAGCAGGCTTCGGAAGAAGAGTGGAGACAGACAGACCAAGAAGGGAAGTTAGGGCTGACATCTAACCTCCCAAGGGCCAGAATCCCCCCTTCCAGGCCACAGGGACCACAGAGAGGCAGCCAGACCCACCGTGGACAGGAACCAGCCTGCGGACGCCCCCTTGTTGTTGTGGCCGACATTGATCTTCATCAGCTGCCCCAGATCTGGGGCATCCAGTGTGAACTTGTCTTCAGCTCCCTTTTCAAAGTTGTCCTTTTCATTCTCCAGCCTACGTTCCCCTGTATGCACAGACACGCAGATAAAATTACAAAGGAGTCCAGAGGAGGAGAAAGAACCAGTCACAAACCTGAATGGTCCACCCACTGAAGGATGGTCTCAAAGTCAACAAGGGGGAAGGCTGTCCAGAGGAGGGGGACAGGCAGTATGTGGGCACACCCTGTACTTCAGTTTTGCTGTGATTTGTTGTGGACTTAAACCTGTTCTAAAAACAGATTTAAAAAAAAAACCTCGGCAAAGATGGCTTCACCCTGAGATCTATGGGCACCTTAAACGCCTCTAATCTCCAGTCAAGGCAAAGGCTTATGTGTGGCTTCTGCCCAGGTGTCCTAAGTGGGCTTCTGATTTCTGCCTTTGTCCAGCATCCCCATCCTAGGAAAACAGTTTGCATCCCCCATCCCAGACTGCGGAGTCCCTGCCTGGTGGTACCAGTTGCTTGTCCTGAAATGGGAGCACAGCCGAGGCAGCTGGTGTGGGGGATGTGACTGGGACCCTGACATCAGCCAGCAGGCTTCCTTAGGCCTGAGTCCTTTCTGGAAAACAGTGCTGATAACTATCATCAGACTCTGCTGGTTGTTTAACATAGATTTTTTTTCTGTTCTCACTTATTCATCGCCACAATCCAAGAGGGAGATGTTATTAATTCTGTCTCGCGGATGAAGAAACTGAGAGAAGTAAAATAATGTGCCAAAAGTCACACAGGTATTAAGCACATACTTAGGACTCATTTTAACCTCTTTTTCTACTTTCAACTTCCCATTATTATTTTCCCAAGTCTACAGGTCACATTCATCCTTATAGCCCCATCTAAGCACCAACTTTTTGCTTACACCTTTCTGTTTTCCTTCATTTCTAAAATGTAATTCTTCAAATTTTTCTAGATTTTAAATTGTGACAATGCAAACATGTAGAAAACATAGACATCCATGTACCTCCCACCCGGATTTATGGGATATAGCAAATGTTAACATTTTGTCTAATTTGCTCAGAATTTTCTCTTTTTTAAAGGAAACGAAACATGACAGATGGGTCAAAAGTCTCACAGCTCATCCCTTTCTCCCGCCCATTCCCTTCCCTAAATAAACACTATCTTTCATTGGTTTGTATTGTTCCCATAAATTTTTGTTTGCACATGGATCTATCCATTTAAAAAAATATTATTTTTGCACATTTTAGAATTTTACATAAATTCTGTATAAATAGAATTACAATACATAAATACCATAGTGCACATTGCTCTGTCTCCAGTTCCTCATTTACACAGCGGGGATGATGACAGCACCACTGCCCAGGGTCCACTGTGAGGATCAACTGGTCCGTCAGAGTGCTTGGAGCACAAGTCCTATCAGCGGTTTGCTGCTATCGCTCCCGTCATCATCTCATCGCTATCACATACCCTTGTGCAACTTGCTTTGGTTCAGTTAATATTATGCTTTTATATCGATGCTAGTAACTTTATGTGTCCAACAGCTGTACAATAGTCATCAAATGAAGGAAACACTGTTATGTACGCAGTCTTCTGCTGACTGACATTTAGGTTGCTTCTGGTTTCTTGCTCTTGTAAATAGCACTGAAATAGACTCTTCTGTAACCACCTCCTGCTGCACATGTGCAAGAACTGCTCTGAGTAGACACCTGCAAACAGAGCTGCTGGGTTCTGGGGTGTGCTGCTCTTTAATGTATGAGGTGTTGCAAAACTGCCCTCCAAAATAGTTGTACTACACTAATTACCACCAGCAGTATATATGAGGGTCTCAATTCCCTACAATTATTAATGTACGTATTTTTAAATTTTGTTCCAGTGTGTACAATGGTATCAAATTGTGCTTTTAATTTGCATTCCCTTGATAATGGGAAGAGATTAAACATATATATTGTTCATATATATTTTTTGAGATTGGTATATATATATATGCCATTTAGAACTTGCTCTTCTGTAGTTTTTCTGTTCACATACTTTACTATATATTTATATTATTTTTCCTTTGTCTATGGTGTCTTTCATCAGACATTTTTCTTGTTTTAATGAATTCATCAATATTTCCCTTTGTTGTTTGAGACTTCAGTGAATTGTTCAAGAAATGTCTTCCTAAATTAAAATTTAAAAGACTCTCTCTTAATGTTTCTTCTAAAAATTTCATAGTTTTTCTTTTTCACATTTAAGACTTTAGTCCATCTGGAAGTTATTTTCATTCATGGTGAAAGGTAAAAAGATTTTAACTTTTTCATATGGTTAGACAATTGTTTGCATACCAGTAATTGAATATTTCATCCTTTTCCCTCTGATTTATAATACTACCTCTATGTGTGTTTCTAGACTTGTTATTCTGCTCCATTGATGTATTTGTTTATACTTCCATCAATATCACACTGTTTTAATTTTTAGAGATCTGAAATGTGTCCATATCTGGCAGGGTTAATCTCATATTATTAATATTGTTAATATTATTTTCATTATCCAAAATGGTCTTGGCAATACATAACCTTTAAGGACATGAATTTTATTAGCAGCTTAAGTTGTGGGATATTGCCTTATGGAAATGTGACTGAAATTACATTGTATTTATAGAATAATCTGGGAAAATTTGACTTCTCAATGAATTTGAGTTTCTTCTTATTCATGAGTATAACATATTTCTCCATTTGTTTAAGTATTCTTGTATATTCTTATGTAAAAATTTATATTTTTTCCAAAATGCTCTTTATAGAGTTTTTCTTAGGTACTTTATAATAGTTATTACAAAATATATATTTTAAATTAAATGTTTGCTTGCTATTTTTATTAATATTTGTATATTAATCTTATATCCAGCATCTCTACTAAACTTTCTCTCCTTGGCTCTAAGGATTGTAAATTCTCCTGGATTTATAGATGATCATCCTTTTTTCTGAAAATTACAGTTTGTTTCTAAGGAGCAAGAAGGTGAAGTTTCTTCTAATTTCACTGACTTATGAACAAAGAATGTTGTCTCTATGTTATTGATTCATTTGAGTTTATTAAGATTTACTTTGTGGCTTAGTATGTGGTGATAATGTGTTTGAAAGAAATGTGTATTCTCTACCAGTTGGACACAGGAATCTACATGCTTACATTAGATCAAGCTTATAAACTATAGCTAAAATCTTCTGCACCCATACTAAACTGTTATCCCTTTGATTTATCAATTTCTGATAGTGTTGTATTAAAATCTTCCACTATGATTATTTGTCAAATTTCTCCAAAAATTTTAATTTTTGCAGAACATATTTTGAAAATATGTTTTTAAGTTTATACAAATTGCATTATATCTTCTAGGTTAATTGTTCCTTTTGTCATTGCCTGGTATACTTTTATTTCTAACAAAGTGTTTTGCCTTAAAGTTTAATCTGCAGATGTTAATATAGCTACACCAGCTTCTTTTCTATTGATGTGTTCCTGGCATACATCATCCAATTTTACTTATTCTCAGCCTTCTGTATCACATATTTTATTTCCTTTCATTTAGTATGACAATATCTCTTCTTTACTGATGAGTTTAGTTTATTTCTATTTATTGTAATTATTTATACATGTATCTTACTTTTCGCTATTAGCCATGCTCTTCCTTTGCTTCTCTTTCTTCATTTCCTGCTTCTATTGGATTGACTGAGTCTTTACCCCCTTTTATTCCTTCTACTGGTTTAGAAGTTATACCTTTCAAATATTTTTTGGTGGTTACTTTTATAATTGTAATATGCATACTTGGCTTATTAAAGCCTAAGTTACTCAATATCTTTACTCTTGTAGGGGCTGAGGAATAAGCTGGGATCTAGAAACTTATATTTTAACTCTCATTATCTACTTCCCTTTTCAATGATGTTTGTTTTTTTAGTGTTTGGGGTCCACATTTCTCATGCCCTGATAACACTCATTATTAATTTTTTTTAATATAGTCAATGTTTTCTTCACATTGTTACATAATTATCCAGGGATTTTTGCTTACCTTTGTTTCTTGCACCCTACTCCTTTCTTCTTGGTACAATTTCCTTTTTGTTAAAGTATATCCTTCAGTGGTTGTTTAAACATAGATCTGAGTGGTGAACCCTATTTCTCTTCGTTTACATGGAAATCATTAATTTGCCCCCACTCTGGACCAATAAACTAGCTGGACATAGAATTCTAGGTTGACCTTCTTGCTCAGAACATTGAAGGTATTATTTCATGGACTTATGACCTCTTATTGGTGGATAACTGGAATTTGCTATCAATCTAATTTTGTTTTTATAGAAGATAATCTGCCAAATCTAGTTACTTTAAGATCTTTCTCTTTGCCGTGGGTTTTACCACAAGTATATACGCCACATGTATCTAAATGTAGATTTGTTTTTATTTATCCTGTTCAATGACTTATTTTGTTATAACTGAAATTCCTATCTTTGCTCAATTTTGAAAAGTTTCAGCTATTATCTGATGAAATATTTCCTGTCACCTCTTCTATATTCTCTGTTTGGACCTCCTATTCAACATCTACCAGAACTTACTCTCTCCTCACAACTCATGGCCTCTCATTTATATTTTCCAACTCTTTTATCTCTCTGCTACATTTGAGTATTTTGATCATACTCATCTTATAGTTTACTAATTCTCTGTTCAACAGTTTCTGATTGTATTGTTTTATACATCCATTAAGTGTTTTATTTAGTAACTATATTTTCATTTCCTATATTTGTTTGCTGTGTTTTTCATGGTACCTTGTTATTTTCTTTGATCCTTTCATGTCTACATTCCATTTAAACATATTTAAGTTACAGCCCTTCTCATAATACTCTAGTATCTGAAATTCTTGAGGATTTTCTCTTATTATTTGTGTGTCCATTCATGTTTAGTGATCATGCATTGTGTCCTTGAGTGTTTTGCAGTTTGGGAAAGTGAACTCATCTTCAGTACTTTATCTGTGGAAATCTCATACAGACTTGCAGATGCTTCTGCCAAGCACTCAAGGATATTACTGGCACCAATTTTCAGTACTTCAGGGGAGAGGGGTTCCCAAACCACACTTACATTGTAAAATCAGACCTCAAGCCCACAAGCAGGCAAACCTAAGGTATCAATTTCTTGGAATTGTCTTTTTAGTCTTGAGCTCTTGCAGAGATAAGTTTACTCTACTGATGAGCGTATTTTTTTCCTGGTCTATTTTTTTCACTTGAGATGTTCCCATGAACCATCAGGGCTCCTAGCATTATGCGTAGTTCTAATTTCATATATCTTGCCTCATGCAAGACGAAGATCTCACTTTCTGACCCCAAATGGGTAAGAAAACCCATTCTGTAGATTGTTGAACATGAAAGCTCCCTCTTTCCAAGAGTCACAGCATCAATTCACAACTAATACTTTGGTTTTAAGGTACCTCTTCATTTCTGGCACCTGAAGATCTTTTTTCTTAAAAGTCCAGAAACACATTTTGAATTCTTTAATATACTGTGTCCAAATTCACATATTCCAGTAGCTTTTTCAACTCCTTTGTTATTCCATTCAATTGGAAGAAGCAACAGAGAACCAACTGCCCAGTTTTACTAGCCTGAGAATCCTCCTTACACCTGCAGTGGGTCTTTGCCCTCAGTTCATGCTTTACCTACAAGGCCAAGTCTAATTCTATTCCCTCCCATTCTGGTGTGCCCCAAACCACTGCACTGAACCAGGCCATTCCCAGCCACATCCCAAAATACAGCTCAAGATGGGCATGCTGCTTGGGGAGATAAAGAGCATAAGTGAGAATAACGTTACCTGGTGATATGGACCTTGGTTCAGTTCACAGTCTAGGATGCAGGACAATTTCAGATCAACCCCAAACCCAAGCACACTTTATTCTGAAAACACATCACACACATAAGTTTTATAAGATGGTCACCTTGCTGGCCAGGGGAGGCCATTACAAACCACATCACATGAAGAACAAGGTGTTCAGCAGAGGAGACCGGCCCTGCCTTCCTCTGCCAGGAAGGGATGGGGGAAACAGCCCACCTAAGAGGCGTTTCCAGGCATGGCTCAGGGAGAAAGGACTTCAAACCCATTACCTGTGTCTCCATACTCTCCAAAGATGTTGATGAAGACATCAGCATCAGTCCCTGCACCAATGACATCGCCAGTGTACACCTTGACTTCATACTTATTACCTGGAAATGAGGGCAGAGAAAGCCTCAGATCATTAAGATTCTGAAGACAGAAGAACAAAGCCCTGAAGTGGGCCTTTTCACTTCCCATGCCACCCACCTTTCTCTCTAGCAATGCATGAATTACCACCATCCATAGCTATCAACGGAGCAAGAACCAAGTAGCCTGACATTGTTTCTAAATGGCCATTGATAACATATAAGTGTATCAAACCAACAATTATATACCTTAAACATTGTATGTTTTATGTCAGTTACAGCTCAGCAAAGCTGAAAAAAAGCAAGACAAATGGTCATTGCTAAACTGCATGCATAGCATGAATCAGTAGGGGGGCTTCTGTTTTCACCTACTAACAGGTTGCCTTGGGATGCATACACCAGCCCAGACCCAAGGTACTGCACTGAACCCACCCAACATTATCTCCCTTGGAGAGTGAAATGTCTCTAATTGGGTCCCCTACATCTACTCTACCCCTTCTCCAATCTGTTCTCCACACTTCACCACTGTGTAAAAATTCTAATACACTGGGGGAAATGGATTCTGCAAATAAAAATGAAAGTATATGTGAATTGTCAAGGTCATAACCAATGCAAAGTCTAGAGGTACCAGTAGTAGCCAGCAAATGAATGTTTAGGGCTTGCTTCATTTGAAGACCTGTATCTGCTTGCTGAATATTTTCTGCATTCATTGAACAGAAACTGACTCTCTGTAACCCCTAAATGCCTGAGCCTCGGCCATGGCCTTGAAGGGGGATGGAGCTCAATGTAAACTTGACAACATGCTGAACCCTGCCCAGGTTCACCTGAACCCACACAGATCTGAAGGCTGGTCTTTGACCTGCTAAGAGCTGGGAGGAAGCAATGTCTTCTCTTTCTCTCTTCGATCCTTACTCAGTGAGACACATCATGAGGAAGAGAAGACCTTCCAATCCTTGTCACCATCCAAAGGCCCAAGATTCCTACCCCCTCTTGCTTCTCATGAAGACCCCTCTGAGGCAGGAGACAGAACCAGGGCCTTCAGAAGAGGCCAGACCTAGGCAACCGCAAGATCATGGGCCACATTCAGGCTACTTGGGGAGCTTAGGAACGAGGCAGACTTCCAGGTTCTCCCGCAGAGATCCTGAGATGCATGGTTATAAAGGACCAGGGAGGCCCTGGCCAGGATCACCCGGCTCTTGCTCACCTTCCAAGCTGCAGAGACCTCCCTCCAGAGACCTGGTTCTTCTGCCCATGGCTGCCACGGCCTCTGAGAACCATCATTTTGGTTCACATCCTTTTCTAGGTCCAGTCAAGGGCTCAATTCTCACTGAGGCAAGACCTCTCTGCAGCATGACAAGATGCCCGGGACCCCCTTCACCAGTGATGCCAGGCTGGGGTAGGGGCTGGGGGTGGCCCTGAAGTCTGCTGCCAAGCACTGGTCAATCAGGAAGGGCATAGGACTCCAGTCAAACTGGGCACAGTGAAGCAGAAGAAAGGATGAGGGGGCTGAGGAGCATGTGTGCAAGGAGCAGCAGACATTCTGAATCATTTCAGAAGGCAGAATTAGAATTAGTGGGTTGAATTATAAAGAGAGATATTTTAACTCACCAAACCAAACATTTTCTGGTAGCTAGGGCTATCTAACAAAGGAATAGAATGCCCCTGGGGAAAACGAATTTCCCATCCCTAGGGATATCCAAGAAGTCACTCTGTGCCCAGCACACTGGTGGAGAGCCATCTGTCAGGGAGGCTGTAGAGCAAATGCCAGAGGTGAGACTGTGAGAACACTCAGGGTCCTTTTCAATCTGCAATTCCATGACAAGTGGGCAGGAAAGGCAGACCTGCAGACACAGAGGGAGACCAGATCAAGGACGCATCTCAGAAGATGGAGGAGGTACCCAGGGTCCGTGCTGGTGAGGTCTGGGGAGCAGGAGCCCACCTAGGGCTGGGAAGCACACATCATCCCTCCCAGAGAAGCAGAGCATCAGGGACAAAGTGAGGCCAAGGGTCGGAGATCAAGAGGCCAGAAAGTGCTGGAAGGAGCTTCCAGGGCTTTCTGGCTGAGATGGACAAGGGATCCAAGCCGAGGGCGGACAGAGTATAGGAGGAAGTCGGTTCTGTAAGGGCTGACTTATAACCTCTGTGTAGCTTTCTATGGCAGGATGGGGCCCTGGGCCCCCATGTAGATGACCTATGATCCCACTGAGGAGCGGCTGAGAGCTGCAGTGGGGGTGCACAGCACACCTTACAAAACCACCCTTTAAAGAGCCCTGTAGATGGACAATGAGGCCTATTCTATTACTATTCTCCCTCTTTTGTTTCCACATTTCCTCTTCAAGCAAAAGCCTCTACTATCTGATTTGCCATTTCCCAAACAAGGCCTAGGGCCCAGTGCCAACCCTAAATTGTAGTTAAGTGCATATACTGATGAAAGAACAAGGCTGAATAGAAGCAAGGCTTCATTCTCTCATGGTTGGCAACATGTCAACGCAGGCCATCAAGCCTTCCCCCTAAAGGGTCATCTGAGATCCCCCCAATTTCCTGTGACCAGAATTTCAATGATTACAAACTTGCAATTCCAGTCACAAGCGGTTTTTAAAGGTGAATTCACCTCTTAGATCTGGTGATCAGTGAGAAGGCAAAATGCCCACATGTGAAACATGGCTGCCCTCCTGGTAACAGGAACCAGCCAGAGGGAAAGATGAAGGGCCAGTAAAAATCCCTGCCTTAGAGGCCAGAAGGAGCAAGGCAGGAGAGAGAAAGATGGTGAGAAGAAAGTGCTGATAGAGCATGGCTGGGGCCTGCCTTCCAGGACCAGTAATTTTCAACATTCACACAGGCCATGCAGTTCAGAAGGCACCTGTGTGTCCTTGCTGTTACCAGATCCTCACAGTGGCCACATTAGATAGGCAGTGCAGGTACTGCTGACATTCTCATTTACAGATGAGAAAACTGAGGCTCAGAGGGAAGGTGGCTCTCCCAAGGATACATAGCTGCTAAATGAGGCAAGAGGGGTTCAAGGCTAGGTCTCTTGTCTCTAAATCTATGGTTCTTTCTTGAACACCTCATGGCCTCTGAGAATCTAGGCCAGGGATCCAAAATTTTTCTGCACAGTGACAGACAGTAAATATTTAAGCCTTAGAGGCCACTTGGTCTCTGTTGCAACTACTTGACTCTGCTGATGTACTGAAGCAGCCACACACAACACCGTAGGCCTGCCTTATCCTCTGGGGGATGCCTTCCAAGACCCCCAGTGGATGCCTGAAAATATGGACAATACTGAACCCTATATGTATGGTGTTTCTTCTTTTACATACAGACCTATGATAAAGTTTAATTTATAAATTGGGCACCGTAAGAGATTAACAGCAGTACCTAATAATAAAAGAGAATAATTATAACAATATGCTGTCATACTAGCTGTGTGCATGTGTCTCTCAAAATATCTCACAGGACTGTACTCATCCTTTCTGTGACAAGGTGAGATGGTAAAATGCCTATGACAAGATGAAGTGCAGTGAATGACATAAATGTTGTGATGTAGTTAGGCTACTGTGGACGTCTGGTTTTGACCCCCTGGCAGGGGACTGAAACGGAGGAAAGTGAAACTGCAGAAAGTGAAACAACAGATAAGGGGGTGGCAATACCGTGTAAAAACAATGTAAACAAATGGGCGTGGCTGTGTTCCAATAAAACTTTATTCATGGACACAGACATCTGAATTTTAGATAACTTCCCTGTGCCATGAAATATTCTTATTTTGATGTTTTTCAACCCTTTACAAATGTAAAACTCTTTCTTAGCTCGAGGTAATCACCAAAACTGGTGGCAGGCCAGGTTTGACCCACAGGCCGCACTTGGCCACCCCGTGCCCTGTGCTGTCTTGTGCTCTTGGGCACTGTTCTTTGTGTTTTCAGGCAGGGGACTGTGGCGGTTCCGCACTCTGTGGCCTGGAATGGGAGCAGAGCTACCTGGAGCAGGGTTGGTCAGCCGATGGTTGCGGGAGAATCACAGCACACTCTAACCCCCTTCTAAGGTTCGAGGCTCTGAAGATCAGGGAACTACTGCCCTTCCACTGTTGGACTGCAAGGGGTGGGAAGGAGCCTGTCCTCCTCAGTGTGGGCAGCAGGACCAGCTTCCCCTGTCTCTGTGCTGTGTGACTGGGCTGAGTCTGATGCCCGCCTGAGTCCTGAAGAGAAGGTGGGGACTAGGTTTCCTGAAGGTGGGGACAGGTGGCAGGCCCAGCTCTGCAGCCTTAGGCATTTTGCCTTCAGCTCCTTGCCTGGCTGAGAGCATGCACAGAGCAGAAATGGGCAAAGAGCAGAAGCCACGGTGGAGGAGGGGCCAGCAAGGAGTTCATCACCCTTCCTGAGCAAGCATGATGAACATGGGCCTCATGAGGGGTCATAGGAATTGTTGTCCAAGCCAGCTCTAGGGCTGGCCTGAGCTTTACCCATCTGACATATTATTTGTTACAAAATTCTCCCTAGGACTGACTTTTCTCTAGCCTTTCAGCCAGGCTACCTTTAGCTGACAGGGTGCCTTTGTGCAAATTAGAGAAAAGGATCCCTTCCTTGAGACACTTTACTGCCATCTGTTGGAGGATTGTCATAATAAATACACAAATCTACAACCTCTATAATGTGAAAAGTGGCTCTTTACATAGTTGAATTTGTGCAGTGCACGACCTGCATATCTGAACCCAGCAACCCCACCTTTCAACCTTATTCCACTAAAGGTCATTGTGAGCTCACAGAAGCCAAACTAATTTGAGATTAGTTCGATTGTTCATCTGAACAATATACAATAAGGGATATAGACCAGAGATTAAGCTAATCACATGGTGCTTTACAAAGCCAAACAGAATTGAGATACTATATAACCTCAAGATAGTTGCAACCTAAAGATAGATTGCCCCTCCAGGCTGCAGCATAGGGTTGTCTGTGTCCTTCTTGCCCTGCCAGGAGATACACAAACCCAGCCTTTCCCTTTCCCTCCTCTGCAGGCCCCACGGCAGAGGTACA